GCTTGGCTATTGATCTTATTCTCAGTGCACCCGAAGGTGAGGACTGGGGTTAACATGCACCTACTCGCCTTTCACCGGGATAGTCACTGGCCTGGCATTTCCTAGGGACTCCCACACCACTGAGCGCCCCACCAGGCCACCCACTCCCAGCAGGGTGCACTTTTCAATCATGCCCAGGACCAGGAGCCTCCTAACTATCCCCTACAGCTCCTGCCCTTACCTCCAGGATGATACCAGTGGCCTTGCAGCCAGGCGATTTTGCTGCCTCCCCTGCCAGCAGGGAACTGATCTGGTTATAAAGGCAGCCAGGGATCTAAAATGGCTGCTGCAATCAGGCACCTGCTGGCAGCTTGGCTCAGGCCCTTAAAGTGGCAGGCACCTACAGTGCCCTGCCACATTTATTATAACTTATAACCCTTTCCCTCCATCCTGTGTCTCCCTTGGACATTTAGACTGGAAGATTTTGGAGGCAGTCTACTACTTTTATATTTGTACAGTGACTGGAACAGTGGGACCCTAGTGTTGACTGGTGCCCAATAAATGCAATAAATATGAACCATGATCCCAAATCCACTGAAATCAGGAGTTTCATTATCAATTTCAGTGATCTTTGCACTGGGTCCAAAAGCTTCCAGTCTGCAAGACATGGTTTTTTTGCTGCACCTGCCATTACCTAATGTGGTTTTTTTCCCTTTGTTTGTTTTGGTTTTTATTTTTTATTTTAATGCAATTAATTCTGTTTTTAAAAACTGACAAGTGATTTATTTTGATTCATTAAAAATCCTTGTTGACATTCTGCTAGTGCTTGATGTATAATGAGGTTGGTAGTTACCTGTCCCTCCCTTGCTTGAGTAATAATGCAATGGGTCTAAAATAATGCCTAACATTGTAGTTCCAAGAGTTGATACTAAGCGAGGTGACTCTGGGTGCCAGGAAGGGAAACATGAAGGGACCCTCAGAGTCATGTTCTTATAAAGAAGAGGATGTCCCTAGCTAATGTGTGCTGAAGCTTTCAAAATCTTCTCTGGTTCCCTGGCCAGGCCTCTTATACAATACACCATGTTTCCTTTCCATCATATTTGTAGTTATTTAGGTGAATTTGACTGCCATGGCTGTTCCAGATCAGCAGTAAGATATCCCACAGGGATATATTAACTACTAATAGTCAACTACTAGATAGTACTATGTATTCTTCATCTTAGTAAGATTAGAAGACAATCGCATATGACAAAATAACTTTTTATTTTTTGAATTTAAATGTCAAATACTTTAAGTTTGTTTTCCTTACAGCCAGACTACTGCATGTATATCCTGGGATATTGTTGAGGCAACATGTGCCTGTCTCCTGGCACAAGCTGAAGAGGCAGAAAAAGAAGCTTATTCAATTTGTGTAGCTGAACAAATGATCTTGGAAGAGTTTGGGAGATGCTTATCACAGATTCTGCATTCAGAATTTAAATCCCAAGGAGTGAAAGTTGAGTAACAGAGAATATATTCTAAAACTAATTTATGATGACTTTACATACTTCCATATTTTAGCAATGTTGCAACTTGATAGCCAGATTTTGATCTCTCACTGACTTCTACTGACTTTCTGCTTAATTTCACTGGTTTAGTGCTCTGGACCTTATAATCAGACTGATTCCACTTAAATCACCTAAATTAACTTACTTATGCTAATGGATTTTCTTATAAAACAGCATAGTTATCTTGGGTCAAATTCCGAAGTCTTTACCTAGACAAAACTCTCATTGGAGTCCAAGAAATTTAAATGGCTTTCGTAAGAGTTGATATGAATAAGGATACAATAAAAACTTAAGACTACAGTTTTAGCCATTTCTGTTCTTAGGCCAATTACTTTTCCAATTTTTTTACCTACTATGTTTCTCTCTCTTTCTCTCTGTCTCTTTCTCTTTCTCTCTCTCTCACTCATATACACACACACACACACACCCTTCCACTCTCTCTGGTATGGTTTAATTTTATCTTGTTCAATTTGTTAAAAAAGAGACAGAGAGAGGCCAGAGTTGAAAAGTGGCTAGCTTGGTGATCAAGAGCCTGATCCAAAGCTGACAGAGGTTAATGGCCTTTGGATCAGCCTCCCACACAAAAAAACTCAGCTATCTAGTACCTTAAAAGTACATAGGGAAAAGAACCACCCTGTAACCTATAATGAAAAGGATGCCAGTCAGTTGATACACTGTTTTGAGGATGCACATTTCAGGTTCAGGAAATAAATCAAATATTTAATTGAAGATTTTAGAGAGGGTCCCCATTTTTCCAGTTGCAATTTTGCATCACAAATATTTTGGTTGGATGTGGACTATTAATATGTATATCTGAAACCTCACACTCTGGCTAGATGGGGAGGAGGGCTAACAAAGAATCAAGTCTTCTAAGTTTTCTGTAATCCCTGTCACCTATAGCTGCTGTTCCTCAGTATTCAGGACAGTAGAGATTCTGTGAACAGACAGCCATGCCCACATTAATAATTCCTGCAGCCAAACTATCCTTCCCTTTTCTAAATCTTATCCTTTTATCGCCATAAACTAGCTTCGTACCTCTCCCTATGTTCAAGTCTGAAAATTTCTCCATTGGTACACCACATTCTAATATAATGCACCCTGGAGGACATCTGAGACATTGGGGAATCATTGTGCCCACGTGAGAGAAGTAGCTTTGGGGAAATAGTTTGAAGAAGTAGAAATGAATGCCAGCGAGAGAAGTTTTGTAAACAAAGTGTTGATGTTGAAGGAGGCTCTAAAAACTAAATACACAGGTATTGTGGTAAACAGAGCTAGAACTAAATTAGAGAGCAAGGCTCTTGAGACATCTTTATATATGCTCCAGAGGTGAAGTGGGGCACTTTAATTAGAGTGGGTCTGAAAGCTGCTCTAACTAAAGTGTTCACAGTGTCTCATGCATTCAGCATCTCACACTTCAAAATGGCAGCAGGGGTGCTTTAACTAAAGCTTGTTTGATGAACGTTAGTTAAAGCACTCCTGCTGCCATTTTGAAACATAGGGATGCTAAATACACAAGATGTGGAGGCTGCTGGAGTGCAATAATTAGCATGCTCCTGCAGATTTGATTAATCAAGTCTGCTCCGATGCCTTGTAATTACAGCACATCAGAGCAGCATCTCAGCATGTCTACAGGCAACCTTAGGGCTGATGTGCACACAGTTTTTGCACCATGATAATGCTTAGAAACCAACATAGTTAAAATTCTGTAACTCCCTTGGGCTGATATAGTCATTTAATATGAATCTAGCCAAGATACTAGCATCTTTAGTATAACTTTTTCCACCCTACAGAGGGTTAGTTGCTTTGACTGTGTTAGTTTCTAAGCTAATATTTACAGCAGTACAAACAGTGTGTGTAGACTAGGCTAAAGGAGTGAGAAGGGTAGTATGATAGGGAAGAAAGCAATGAGAAGAAGGAAGCCCTTGTCAGAAAGGGAACTGAGAATGGCTGACAAAGGACCACTTGAGTAAGGTGTAAGTGGCTTTGAAGCAATATAGTTTAGGGGTGAGGATAATTAAAAAGAACCACAAAAGTCTAAGAGTGTTCAGATTTTTCCTGAACCTTTTGAAAGTTGAGAGGTTCACTCTTTAATTGTAAAAATGTACAATGCCACAGCCTGTTAAATCATTCTTCTCAATACAGGGTGTGCTTCTATTCATATCATTTTACATTGGTAATAATATAAGAAGGTGAAAATATATCGTGAAGATGGTGGGTGAAATCATCGCTCTCTTGAAACCAAATGGAGTCTTTCCATGATTTCATTGGGGTCAGGTTTGCTTTAATATAAGTTAAAAGTGGCAAGGTACTAAGGTGGTGTGAAATAGGTAGGAAGTCACACACACTACAAATGCATAATGAATGTTCTAGAAGAGTTATACAATAAACAGATGTACAAAATGTAAAGGGATTAAAAGCTCACTCTTCATTTTTATGTGAGTTTTATCATACACATTTTTAAAAATACTCCAGATTTATTGAATTGTACCTATCTGTATTCAGCCTGAATGTTACAAGTAACCAATGGAGCCCTTAATTACATTTCTGCATCCATGCTTCAGTCCATTTTTATTCACAAAATAAATATTTTAATCAATTTATTTTCAAGTAATATGTGTTATCTCTAAATACTTATGTTCTAAAACTCTTCTACTGTCCTCTGTAGTGAAACTCAGTATGTCAGAGCAACTTTTTTCTTCTATTGTTTTCTCTTTATTTCTCAGAGTATTGTTGCACTGTGGCCTCAATCCATCAAAACACTTATATATGTGCTTAAATTTAAGTACTATCCTATGTCCTTATGTGCATGAAGGTTGACACATGAATAAGTGCTTTACTGGATGGAAACCTGAATATCTTTTCCAAGTGTTTAGTTATGCTTCAAATGTCATTAGTTTTATTTAATATAAGTTTATTGTAAACTCTGTGTGTGTATGTGTGTATATATACGTATATGTATATATGTATATGTATATAAAACAAATAAAACCTGAATAAATACAGAAGTGTGTACTGCTTTTATGACAATGGATAGGTCATACAGCTAATAGGTAACTTAAATGTGATAGCATTCTCTGAGTCATTTCTAGAAGTAGTTGCTTATAGCAAGGTGTAAACTCACTCTGTGGGGTTCCTTGCAGATCAGATCTGAATGTGGTGATGGGGTGAGTGGCATGAGGGAGCCATGGGGAGTTAATGCAGCTGTTGCTCTCCCCCCACCACTAACACAAATCCCCAACAGAGCTCTGTTCTGTGGAGTTGTGCAGTGGGCCCTGCCCCTGAATTCTTGTCCCCTCTAGGAGCCCTGCAGGCCAGATGACACAGCTCTGCGGGCCAAATCTGGCCTGCAGGCTGTATGTTTGGTACCCTTGACTTAGGATTTGGACTGACATGCATTTGAAGCACTTGAAATGTGTGGCTGCTTCCCATCTGCCCCCTGGAGTGCTTCAAAATAGCCATGAAGGAAGCCAATAATACTGTTCACCAGTGAGGGGACTGTCAGCATATATACAGTTATAGTATACCTATCAGGTATTCCAGTTCAGTATTGTACACCAGATGTGCGCTGGCTCCCTTGTCAGTCCATATACCAAAAATGTATACTGGGACAGCTTCTCTTTTCACATAGTCGAATGTGATCCCACTGATTTCAGTAGATTTACACTGGTGAATTTGACAGCAGAAATTAGCCTAAAGTGACAAGGTGGTCTGAAATCAGCCAGACCCAGCTGAATAGTGGTTGAACTGAGAGAAGCTGCACAAAGGCTGCTACAGTGGATACAGGAAGAGGCGGGCTGAGAGAAGGAGCCTCTAGAAGCATCGTACAGGAGAGAGAATAAAATGGCTGTTTTACTTGACATTGCATTTAAGTTTTGCATTAAAGAATAAAGCTGTGTCCCAAAAGAGAATTGGATGGAGTAGTGAGTCCTTCCAAGCCTGGGGAAATTGGCCAGCTGTATTATGTGCAGCCCAGCATCCTTTCATCTATTTACCTAAGGATGTAGCATTTTATTGGACCAATTGCATTAAAAACTGTTATATCAAATAATGCAAACATCTAAAATAAATGTGCAAATATTTTGAGTTTTAAAATAGCATAAACAGTTACAGGAGCTAGATAATAATGACAGAAACAAATATACTTCATTTCATAAGGTGATTACTAGCTGGATGCATGGAGACAGTCCTCTTCACGGTAAAACCATTGCACCAATATTATTATTCTGTTTATTGTTAAGCACCAACAGTATAAGTATTTTATGCTTGCTTTGAAACATACAGAGCACTCACAGGCATGGGGGGGAAAAAAACCCACATTTTACTGGAAGCAGCAGCATCTGTATAGATAGGGCACTTCATCAGGACTTTTTGGTGCTTTTATCTAATAGCTGATTCAATCAGCTATTAGAGAAAAGCCCTGCTGAAGCATCCAACTATACAGATGTTGGGTGAGCTGGGTCAAACGAACGTGATGCCTCTTCTGGGCTCAGTGCAGGGGCGCACAGAGATTAAAGTAAAGCACCGGGCTGGGGGAGGAGGGGGATACATTTGTAAACAGTCACAGTGCTGGTAACTGCCAGAGAAAAGGTACCTGACTGATTGAACCTTTGGCCTGGCCTGGTTTAATCCTGTCTGATAATTAGTGTTCCTAGCTACAGAACTGCTTTGTTCAGCAAGTTAAGCCAGCTTGTCAATATGCTTTGATATTTAATGTTGAAGACATATATTTAAAAATGAAACCCCATTCTCACAAAACCCATACAAATATCCCAACACAATGGATTCATAAGACAAATGTTCCTTGTAAAAATCAAATAGGTCTGGAATTCTCTGTCTGCTTTAAATTACATTTTAAGAGGATGTTGTAATCCATTATTAAAAATATTTGTAGCATCAACATTATGTGTTTACTGAATGGTACATTCATGATCCTTCAGGTATTTTATTTTTAACACTTTGATTAGGTTCTATTTCATGCTTTCTCTCTCTCCTCCTGATGTGGTTTCTTTCTCCTGTCATTCCTTTTGTCGGAATAACAATATGAAATGGTCAGTTCTTTCCCTGAGTTGCAACAAACTTATTGTCTGCCATTTTTCAGAAAACTAGATTATATCTTCCAAATGATTTAGGGGTAAAAATGGCACTAATTAAAATGAAGACTATAAGTCTGCAACACAGAACTGTAGTTGAGAAAAAGAGTGATTTTATGGGTAAAACACTGGCTTGGGCTTGGGAGAGTTGAGCCCAGTTCCTCTCTCTGCTAATGACTTCCCATAAGGTCTTGGAAAAATAATTTATCTGGCCCTGATTCAGGAAAGCATTTAGGCAGGGGTCTAAGTAATAAAGTTAAGATAATACTTCAGTGCTGTTCTCAGCTGGGGTTTTTGTATCTTAGGCACACTATTTGTAAAATAGGATTTTCTTTATCTTGCCCTTCACCTGTCTTGTTTATTTAGGGTTTGATCCATAATTCAAAGCCACAGGAGACTGTCCATTTGACTTCAGTAGAGTTTGAATCAGGTCATTAGACCAGGGGTTGGCAACCAACAGCCCAGCCCACGGACAGGGGGCTTCAGTGGCACTAAGCCAGTGACTTCAGCAGCATTCACTTTCTGCTGTTGTCATGAAAAAAAATGATGACGACAGTGGCTGGTTCCTAGAGTCTGCCTATCTGCCTCTGACCCAGCTATGGTCACTCCAGCCCAAAGCCTAGAAAAGTTGACAACTGCTCCATTAGAAAATAAGCTGTCTTGAGCAGTGCCTGTCTCTATGCTGTGCAAGTGCCTAATGCAATGGGACCCTTGGGAATTTAAAGTTCTACTTTAATACAAACAATAATAATACTATTAGTACATTAGGCAGAGGAAGAGGCATATAAGGAACTTGCCGGATCAATACTTATCCTGTGAGCATACCCCAAAAAAATGCTTTCATAAATCTTAATTATAATATGGATATTTGCCATTCAGTATTATCCACTTCAGAGATAAATGTGACTCATTACTAAATTACTACATTCTGTGCTGATGTAGGAGCAACCCTCATACTGTCTCTTTATGAGCCATTTTTGTCAGAGTAATTGCATTAGTAATAGTCGATTACACAGCAATCTTATGTTCCTACAAAATTAAGGTAATTACTGTAGCTAGAAATGCATCCCTCTGTATTCCATCCTAACAAGGAGCTGGTTAAAGGCAGTGTAATGCTTCACTGTCTTTATAACGATAGACGCACTGTGGTATAATTATATTATTGGAAGTGGGAGGGGGAAGTCTTTACATTTGGAAAGAACATGGAAACAAATTATAGTTTAGGGATAGAAAGAGAGAGAGAAAGACACTTGTATTTAGGCTCCTTTCCT